TGCACTCAACAACGGCGAATGGAACGTCTATGAGCAGAAAACAATGCCCAAGAAAAGCAAAGACTGTCAAACCACCTATGCCATTGTGGGTGCTGTGCCTGGGAACTCCTACATCTCCAATGGGAGGGTTAATGTACCCAGCCACATCTGGTCTGGTGCCTGCTGCAAGACCAAACAGAACACTGTGATTGCTTGGGGGGCCATTGCCGAGAACAACCAGAACAAGATCCGGGTCCTCAAGCTGGGGGCTCTGGAGGACAAGTTGGCTGAGCTGTATAAGAGGGGACCGGTTTCTCTGTTCCATGTGGACTGTCCCCGTACATAAGCCTCACATCCCGGGTGTAAAAGGCTCGGGTGCTTCTCCCACATATCACAGAATCACAATATGGTTTCATTCAAGGGACCTCAAAGATCATTCAGTTCCAAACCTCCCGCAATAGAGCAGGGATATCTTCCACTAGACCCGGTTGCTCAGAGCCATGTCCAACCTGGCCTTGAACGCTTCCAGGGATGAGGCAGACACAGCTTCTCTTGGCAGCCTGTATCAGTGTTTCACCACCTCAGAGGGAAGAATTTCTTTCTGAAACATAGTCTGACTCTGCCCTCTACCACTTTAAATCCCCATTCTCCTGTCACTCGATGGCCTTGTTCAAAGTCCCTCTCCAACACTCCTGAAGACCCTTTAGGTACTGGAATGGGATCTAAATTCTCCTCAGAGCCTTCTCCAGCTGAACAGTCCCACCTCTCTCAGCCTGTCTCCAGAGCAGAGGTGATCCAGCTCTCAGAGTACCTTCATGACCTCCTCTGGACTCCACCCCAACAGGTTTGTGTCCTTCTCATGTTGTGGCCCCAGGGCTGGAGGCAGCACTGCAGGTGGGGTCTCACGAGAGCAGAGGAGGGGGGGACCAATGTCCTGTGCAGTGTCCATCCTGCTCCCTTCTCTGGTGGGTTTCCAGCTCTGTCCCTCAGGGCAACTCCTCCTCCTGCTCTGATAAAAAGGAGAAAGACGTGGGCAGAGCCTCCAGCTGGTTTGCTTTGCTGCCCATGCTGGCAGAGAGCTCTTAGGGGTGAGTCCTTGCCCTGG